TTCACATTTTTAAATTCTGTAAACACTTGATTCTGCAAGCCTTTGCAAATTTCTATGCTTTTTTACAAACTATCGATCTGACCCAACTTTATTTTTTATGCCAGTATACTTAGATAACAGATACTCGGTATATGTATGGTCGAGACAAGGCAAAAATCAAAAAAATGTGAAGAGAGAGAGAAAACGAATTTGGAATTAAAAAAAAAAATAAAACAACAATAGTTTTACTTTACTACATGCAGGAACATTTTCCAAAAAAAAAATTTCATATTCGGAAAATTTAAAAAATCAAATTTCTTTAAGCCAGGGCCTTTCATCAGGGTGCTGGATTTCCTAGTACACAGCCATTTTATGAAATCCACTAGGAATTCCTAGTAAAATTTTTGAATGAAATTCACAGTTTTAATAGGTCTCTTTTAAGTTGCAGACCATTCTTACCTTAAAATTACATATTTCCAATAATGTGCATCTTATATATACATACGTTATATATTCTCCGAGTGCCGAAAATATATGGACTAACACACTCATACTTTAAATATAAAAAGTTTTATAATAAGCACGAAGCATAAGGAATCCCGAAATATTATTTTACTTTCTATAAAACGATTTCATATTCTGATGCTACCCTGATATTATATGAGGGGCTCAGAAGCAGAGTGGCGTAGGCCACATTATGTGTTATGCCACTTTGCTTTTAAAAAATCAGAAAATTTTTACAAAATCAGATTTTTGCAAAAGCAAAAGTACTTTTGTAAGAAATAAATAGGAAAAAAGCTAGTTCGAAACTGGAAACTAATATTACTGATTTTAGCAGATGTACATAACCGATTGCAGCAAAAATTTTATTTGTGGCTTACGCCACTCTGCTTCAGAGACCCTCAATAGGATAATAATTCAGTATTTGAAGTAAAAATATACGTAATAACTTGAGACAGCATACTGCAAATCTTTGATGTTAAATTTATTCATGCGGAATAAAGTAGTATAGCAATTAAAAATATTTTAGTTTATATGTTTACGAGTTTCGGCAATGGTGACGATTTTGGTTTGTTAGAAACTATATAATATGTTTCTTGTTTTAATTTTTTAAATATAAACATTTGCAATATAGTTCGCGCATTTATAAATAATAAAATTTTAATTAATCGTTCTACTTACTAAAAAAGTTCATTTTTTACTTACAATAAAACATGGAACGAGGGTTACGATATTAAATTATACGTTTATATAATATGACAAACATTTTTTACTCGTATATACGTACTAAATGAAATTGGAGAAAAAAGTGAAAACAAAACGCAAAAGATAATAATAAAAACAAATATAAAAACTTAATAAAAAACATATGGTTTGAATACATGCATGCAATTGCAATGCAAACAGACAATAATATTAATATCTTCCTCGCCACGTGGTTGATAATAAAAAAATAACTTAAAATCAAATAAATAAATTTTAAAACAGCACATTTCAAATATAACGGCACAATTATTTCAAATGTTTTAATAATATTAAATTAAATAAGTAAATAACTCTAATATTTACTATAATACAACTAACAATTTATTATACTATTGTATATTAATGCACTGGAAAACTTTAAATACATACCTATGTATATACTTATACATACATATATGATTAATTTCAAGGCCGTAATTGTGTATTTTACCTCACCTATGTGGTGAGAAGAAAGTGTATACGAGTATAATTTCGAGTGTTGCAGCTAAATGTCTTATATAACAAATAATATTTATGGTAATTGTTAATTGAAAATGGGTTCGTATGGTTTCGAATAAGTTAAAATGCTTTAATTTTAATAGCGCTTGTACTATTTGTATTGCGCTTTTTATCAAAAAAATATTTTGTAAAACAAAACCTAATATGAGAGTAATCTCACATGGCATATTTTGGAATAAATAAATATTTAAAATTCTCATACATATATTTAAAAAAATCATTAATATCTGAATTATAATGAAATCCACAGTCCAATATATTGCATCATAAAAAAAAGGTAAAATTGAAGGTTTGTAAAATAGTACATTTCATTTTAACATTTCATTTAGCTTTATAGAGTTTGTTTGTATATATATATGTTGCTTTAGGTCCAACTAATGAAAACAATCTGTTTAACATTGAGCAATTATTGTTGTAATTTGGATTTTATTTTATCGAAATTTAATAGAATCGATTATAGTGACAAGAAAATAGGGAACCCAAAATTGAAATTTTGCATATTTTTAGGGGTAATAATTTTAACATGTGCGATTTTTGAGGACTATTTTTTTTTCTTATAAAATAAAATATTTCTTTTCAATATAATAATCAATATCTATGAACTATTTCGAGATTATTGTCATGAAAATTTTAAGATAAATTCGTATTGCTGTGTATAAAAGAAAACGTATTTCTAAAAAATTACCGAAAAAATTATACGTAATATTAGAGTTGTAAAAACTTCATAAGCAGACAGACAAACAGAGTCAAATTAATATTCACCACGTTTTATAAAGTTGTTTTGGAAATGTGCCAAAAAAAAAGTAGAAGCAATATTTATGGATGTTGATTTTGAGAGAATAGAAAACTTACACTCTTTTTTTTTTATTACCAAAACACAAATAAAATAGAGAATTCGAAATACTACAAATTAAAACTACAAAATTCCAATTAATTATGTAAGAATATCAACATTATTACATATATAAATATGTAAATATGTACTTGATATTGTCGAACACATGCGGTTATGAAATATTAATCGCGAATTTTTTTTACTTATTGTGTGTATATCTTATTATTATTTGTTAATGAAAAGCTTTTTTTTTTTGTTTTATACTATGCAAACATGTATATATATATAAAATATACCTTTAACATACGTATATGCAATATTGTTAACATTACATTCATAATAATTACTGTACATACCTTTGAAAGTCATAGGTAACATTTAATTTTGGTAATTGTTATAAAAAGGAAAAAAAAAAAACGAATATTTAAAATTTTTAAAATTAACTATTAGCCTAATTTTCTATGTTATGTAAAAACTATAAAAAGTTAATAAGTATATTGTAAGCAATATAAATTTTATTTGGTTGAAAAAGTTGAAAATTGGCTTTAGATTAGAATTTCACTCACAATTTATTTGGTTTCCAAATAAATAATGACAATTTTATAAGTTGAAATCATATTTGAAAATAAAACTTAATATAAATATACAAAATAAATAAAAATTGTTTCTCTTATACTCATTTCCATATAATTCAGCAATATATAATGATAATAAGCTGAATTGTATAGCATAAAATTTTACAAGAGAATTTTTCCAAAAGTACACATATACATATATCTTGACTTATGAAAACTTAAAAATTACTTATAGATAATTTAGCACTTATTTAAATTATAAACTGATTTTGTACGCATTACGGAAGCCCTATATATACTGTTATTGCTAAATAATTCGTCAAAATTAAAATTTTGTTAACTGAATTATTTAAGTAGTATGATATATGTATTATATATATTAATAAAATTTATATATCATTATGATATATCATTCAGCAATACAAATAAATATTATTGCAATTTCAACATTCCGTATTGAAAATTCTATAGTTCTTATATCAAAATTTTAATAATAGTATATTACTAAACGATTCAGCAACTAGTATACCTGATAAGCTGAATTGTGTTTCAATAGGATATTTACAGTATAATTTTGTATAATTTTCAAAAAAAAATAAAAACAAATGGATTATATTAATATAACATACAAATATTCATATGTACTCTATTATGGTAAATATTTAATTAATTTTTAATTATATACAAGTACTTGTATAGATTATATGAAAATTATTATGTCTCTGTTTTTGTATATTCATTGGTATACATTCGATAATCTATGTACATAAATACATTGAAAGTAAATAAACTGTTCTAAAAAATCTAAAATAAATTTTGTTGTCAATTTAAAATATTTTAATGATTATTAATATTATTATTATTATTATCAAAACAAAAATAGAATAATAATATTCTTTGAATATTGTGATTGAAATTTTTTAGAACACAAAACTCTAAAATTTTTATTATTTAATTTGATAATAAAAATACGTGAATATATATATGTAAATATATATATATATATCAGAGTTATATGTATATGATTAATTTATCTTTCCCTAAATTACATATTACCTTTATAATCGCATTTAAATTCGAATTATAAATTCATGTGTAAATTATGCAAAATTCGGCTATGAATTTGAAATTGAATTTAAAAACTCTTATATATTTTTACTAAATTATGTAATTTAAGGTTAACAATAATTTAAAATGCAATACACTATTATTTCATTCAACAATGAGCATTATTAAGCTGAATTATATAGTATAATATAGTATTACCTTTCTGATCTATTGAAATTTCAGTATTATACTGTATATGGGTATAACAATTCAAGTTAAAGAATTTTATACTGTTGAATTGTGTAAATAAAATAAATGTAGAGTCAAACGTACTATACACGATTTCGGACAGAATTCTTTGTGCGTATTTATCTCCAGGACTTCAAAATTGTACTAAAACTGCATGATACAAAAAATGCTGCTTATCAGTTGTAATTGCTGAATTGTGTATAGCAATATAATATTAACGAAATTCTGAAGTTACGATCCGTATTCTGCCAGTTATCCATTTTCATTTTTGATTATAGGAAAATCATACATGTAGGGGCAGCAAAAAAAAATGCTTTGCTCACAAAAGAAGAGTTTTGCTTATATTCGTGTTACGGATATAAGCATACTACAATATTTTAGAGTCATAATTAAATTTAGTTCTACAATTTATGTTTATATATACAGATTTACGCTAATATATTATTATATATTTGCATATTTTTTGAATTATCAAACTATTTCAGGCATTCATTATTCTTAGGGTATAAATAATCTATATATTATGCATATATATATATATATATACTTACATTACAATGAAATGATGGTGTATATATATGAAATGATGTTATCGTATGATTTATTCCAACTTGAATGCTATTTAAACATAGCAATACAATCAAAATAATTTGAAATCGACCTTTTTTTTCAATTAAATTTTGTATTAATTCTTTAATATCGTTCATTTTGATTTTTTTTTATTTATTTTATTTTTTGATTTTAATTTTTCATTAAAAATATGAATTTTTAATTTGTGTGTGTGTGTGTTTTTTTTTATAAATTTTAAAACAAATTTTTAAACCTTTAATTTTCGTTTTAATTTAAAAGTAATGCCAATTTTATTTAAACAAAAATTTTTTTATATTTTTTAAAAATTTTGTTAAATTTGTTTTTTTTTTTTTATATTTTTCTTATATGTACCTAATATAATTTCATTTATATATGTGTATGTATGTTGTTGCCCTTTTCGAAAATAAACAAAAAAAACATGTAACGATATGAAAATAATAAAAAGAAATTCGTTATATAGGTGTACAATAATTAACAAAAAAAAAATAGAGAACAAAAAGACCAAAAAAGTACGATTGACGAATGTAAAAAAAAAACGGCAACAACAAAATTCAAAAACAAAAAAAACGAACTTTAAAAAACTAAAAACAAAAAGCAAGCAGCACACCGTCGCCGCAATTTAAATTTTTAATTTTTTACTACCAAAAGAATTTTTTTTGGCTTTCTTAAAATGTTCACCTTTAATAATAAAATAATAATAATAAACAATTACAAACGAAAGAAAAAACAACAAAAAAAAACAAAATTTTAAAAATATTCTCTAAAAATTTTTGAAAAATTGAACCTTACGATTCAACGCACTGTAAAGAACTGTTTTGTATTTTTTTGTGAGAATAAAATAACAAAAAAAAACAAAGAAATCAAAATAAAAAAAAATAATGATAACACAACGCCACACACTGACACACCATAACTGAAAACAAGTAAAAACGTTTCAGTCGGTATAAACCGATTGAATTATACCCTGCACCTTTCGTTATTGTGTAGCAATTACTCGAACCTGTGAAGTCATTCTATAGAAACTTCACGGATATGTCTGACCTATAATTGGACATCCGACTGCCAAGTTTCATGAATCTGACTTTATTATTTTTCCAAATATTTAAAATTAGCTTCTGAAGTTGTATGGCAGGTACCCGAACCTGTCAAGCAATTCTTCTAAAACTTCAGAAATATATTTGACCTATAATTGGACACATGACTGCCAAGTTTCATGAATCTGACTTTATTATTTTGCCGAATATAAAAAATTTACTGTTGGAGTTGTATAACAGCCACCCGAATCGGTGCAGCTATCCCTTTATAATTTTTAGAGCATGTGTAGAATATAATTGGACACATGTATACAAAATTTTATATTTATAGCTTTATTAGTTTTCGAAATATTTAAAATAAACTCTTTGAGTTGTATGGCAGCTACCCGAACCCGTTGTCCGAATTTGTCCAGTAACAATAGGCAAAAAAGAAAAAACCCGTTGTCCGAATTTGTCCTTGGCAAAAAAGAAAAAACTTGTGAAAGTTTGGTGTCGATTGCATTATTCGTTTTTGAGTTATCGTGCGATCGGACGGACGGACGGACGGACGGATGGACGGACGGACGGACGGATGGATGGGCGGACGGACAGACGGACATGTCTAAATCGACGCAGAATTTTACGCTGAGCAAGAATATATATATATGTCCATACCGCAGACGACTCCTTCAAGTAGTTACAAACTCCATACCAAAGTTAATATACCCTTCACGAAGTGCAGGGTATAAAAAAGAGAAGAGAAAAATGTTAAAAAAAAAAAAATCAACCGTGTGCTGTACTCTTCATATTCCACACACAACGATTCTGTTTTGTTCTTCATAATTTAAATTAAGTACGAGTTTGATCTTCACTAATATGAGATCGAAAAAAAAGCAGTTTTTAATTTTAAACACGTTCATTTTTGTGTTATCAATAATTTTGAGGCATTTCAATTCTGAACTATATATATACGTTACAGTCAGTAATCACTATCGTGACTGTAAATTACAAATAATTAAGAATTGCGGTGAAAATTATGATTGCGTATGAAGAATTAAGTAATTCTTTCACAGAGCATATATAGGAATTTAGTAATTTCGCTTCATGAAGCAGTCCCCTGCAGTATATGTATTCTATATATGCGAATTTTGATGAATTTGCCGCGGAAAATTGTTCTTGTTCTATTTTTAAGTTAATAGAAATTAAGTAAGGTAATTTCTATGTAAACACATATATGGGCAACTATGAAAATCTGAAATGTATTTGAAATAATAGAATATTCAAAATGATTCAGCATAATTTTAAACCAAAAATTATGATACATTTGTATTTTCGATCTTTGTACCTTGCAAGATCAAATTAAAACAGGCTATAATAGAGGACATTATTTTCTGTTATATTTGCTTTATAACAAGATTTCTTTATATTAATGTATATGAATGCTATGAGTGCAATATGGAAATACATAATAACTAAGAAGAATTGTTAAAAATATAATTCAAAAAATTTATTAACGTATAATTCATTTAGTAAGTTACAATTGCTTAATTCGGTATCAGGTTATCAAGTCAGCTAATAAGTTATAATTGGCTGAATTGGGTATCAGATACCAATGTTGAATTGTGTTTGTCAACACAATAATAAATACTATAACTTTAAATTTCGAAATCAGAATTTCTTGCTGGATTTAAGGCAAACAGAACAAAAATTTGATGTGGTTTAATTTATTATCGCAATGTATATTGTCTTGTTTAGTCAAAGTGATACAGAAGATTATGAAAATTCGGTTTACACACTTCTTTACGAATTTAAGGACGCTAGTAAGCTTTTAGTTAATTAACCTCAAAAAATGTAAAATAGGCTCTTAATTGAATTTCGCTTTATGCGAGTCGAATCCTCTTAAGTGTTCACCAGTTAGAAATCATTATCATTTATTATATTAGAACAATTAGAACTCATATATCAAATTTCAAGAAATTCCATCAATCCCTTCCGGAGATATAGTAAAAAAAGTAAAATCGGCCCACAATTTGTTTTCCGAACCCTAGCTTTTCTAAAAAATTTATAAATTCATTATTTTAACACCCCGAATTTAAATATTAAATTTCAAGGAAGTTGGGTTGACTATGAAAAAAGTAATATCGGCCCCAAAAGAGTCTAGTAACCGAGATCTGATATATCTTAAAAGTTGATTTATCTCGACTAAGTTCAATCCATGACATAGTCGAGATAAACTCACAAATAAAATTTTATCAAAATTGGTTGCACCGAAGGTGAAATACACACGCGCACATACAGACCGACATCTCTCTAAAAATAGTTTATTTGCGCTTTTCTATCATGGAGAGGTGCGTTTTCACCGAAAACTCGACATCCGAAATTTGGTGCCATCACATAACCTCCTTTATTGTATACAATGTGTTCGGTAGAAATATACCTTATTTGTTTCTTTTTTATAATTTTATTTGCGATTAAGAATAAATCGAAAACGTTCATATCCAATTCATAGTATATCTATATTAATATCTAAATTTAATGCCAACTTCGTTAACAGGGTAACGAAGATTGTTTGTTTGTTTAAACTTTAAGGAAAATGATATCCGAAGTTAATTACATAATCTAAAATTTTATTTTAATTTAATTAAAATTTTATTATTAAAAAAATATTTAACTATTAACCTAAATATTATAACAAAATCGTTGAATTTAGTTAGATGTTCACTTACCTTATCAAAAACCCAATGATACACGCAGTTGGAGCAATTGTATCCACGATTGGTGTGTGAAATCGTGTCACTGAAATAGGGAAAAAAATTAATTGAAATGTACTAGATGAATACACCTTCAAGAACTGTAAAATAAAGTTTAGAAATACTGACACATGTCTACATTTATCTATATTATATAAAAGAAATTTGAGTTTTAAACGAGTTTTGTATTAAGTCCAAAGTTTATAAATAATTAAACTACATATGAAATGTCCGAATTCAAACTTGTCGAGCTCAAGCTAACATTCAAAGCAAATGAAATTTTCAATTCTATATCCCTTCCTCCCAAAGGCAAATAAACGAATATAACGACAAACGAATTGATATTCTTCGAATTCTCATATTGCAAAATCATTTAAAATTATTACAAGTGTCAAAAAGCAAGAATGAGAAAACAAGAAAATAAATATAAAAAAAAGAAATGTTTGCTTTGCTTACTTGTTTTACTATTTTTCCTTTTTCAATTTTCTGTTTTTATTTCACATTTAGATCTTGCTTATTCTTTTTTTTATTTATTTTTTGTTCTACAAAACTTGATCAGCCAAACTCATTATGCACGCTCATGTACCACACATATAGGGTTATCGATTTCAAAATTAAAAAAAAAAATTACTTCAAATTTTTTCTAAAAAATTTTACTTTTTAATAGAAATAAGAAAAATAAAAACAGTTGAAATACAGACGAGCGCGCATATAATAAACATGTTTTATAATCGAATTCTCAACATCGGATTTTTTTTTTCCTTCTTCACTCCTAGGAGGAGTATAGGGCTAGTGCATGATATCTATCATGCCCTAGTTTCTATAGTCATAGAGAGTTAGCTAGGTAGGTGACTAGCCTGCCGTAGTTTTTTTTTTTATTTATATTAATTATTTGAGATTATTAATATTTACTGTTTATTTTTCTTAGTTTTTTTAGTATCGAATATTATAAATATTTGAAAATTACTTGTATCATATTTATTAGTATTGTATATTAAGCTATATAATATTGAATATAATTTTTATAGTGACCTGACCGGGGTTTGAACCCGAGACCCTTCGGTTAAAGGGCCGGTGCCATAACCACTGCACCAATGATCAGATCTCAACATCGGATAAATGGGGCAAACTTGGCTATTAAAGGCACAGTCTCATTTTCTGAAAATTGGGGTATCCAGGAAAAACTTAATTTTTAATTTTGGAATAAATCTGATTGTTCATTCTATTTTTTTTATTATTGTATAACACGTGCGCCAATTCAATATGAACTGATACAAACTAGCGGAACAACGCATATGTGCTCGGACGCGAGCTGCCCACACCTGGTCATCAATATTTGATGCTCCTGTGGATTTATTCCCTGGACATCCTCTCTCGGGGAGTAGCATGAAATGGTGGAGCACTTATTATATCAATGCGAGACGGTAGCACAATTACAACTTGTCTTCTATCGGTCAACGTGAGCAGGACATATGGACCTCGGTCTCCTATGGGACAATAAATATGGACTCGGCCGCCTTAATTTTCTACTTCTAACACATTATAAAAAATTTTATATTTGAAAAATCGTCACATGTAGTTGTCTTATTTGTCATAAGTTGGCTTATTTTGTAGATTTTCTATCAGTTTTTGATTCAAAAGAAAAATTTAATTTATGGTTTGCGCTTATTGAAAACAAGACAGTTTTTGTAAAATTTTTTCAAATACATAATTACACGAAAGCTACATATTGCTTTTAAAAACAATCTATGCTTATAAACAAACTATATTATTAAAGTTGCTTTCATTCATATACGAAAATATTTCAAAAATTGCATACATTTAGGAGAAAAACGACATAAAAAATTTGGAAAAATCGGATTTTAGATAACGGTAAATTTGAAGGGCCATTTTATTTTTTTAAAGTTCAGATATGGTATGCCGCGGTAGAAAAAGCAACCGACTATTATTCTACGTTTGCAAAATTTGAAAAATACTTATGGTTTCACTGCAATAGACAGTTAAAAAATGGCATT